TTACTTCTATAGCTACCCCAACCGAGTTTCCCTACCCGCAAAAAAAAAGAAGAGAAAAAGAAACAAAGCGTTAGAGCACCCTTTCGTGGTACCTGAGCCAAACTTGTCTCGCAAGCTTTTAAGTTGAGGTGTGAACAGAGTTTCAAACATGGCGTCCTCGAGATCGTGAGAGGGGTCAGAAACACAAAATTCTATACTATATTCGATTCTGAAAACCTACTGTTAGACTCCCATCATGTCTGAACGATCTTCCTTTATATGAGGCTACGCCAAAAATAAGGACACCGGACACTCCATCAGGCCTCCCCGAATTCGCCTGCAAAGTTTTGTCTTGTCAGCTCTAGAACTGTGTGAGAAGTTATCTGGACACATATAAAGCTATAAGCTGAATTAATAATATAGCCACTTGTTACATATTATTAAGAAACATTTATAGTTTAGGTTTTTAGCGTTATGATTATGTTTCGCGTTTTCGTATATATAGTAATTTTAATTTTATCAGTTGAGTTACCATTTATATACCGAAAGAGGTGGATAGATTTATTGTGTAATTTTGTTAATTATTAAGCCCAAACAGTTTGTTTTAAATGATATATTGCTGATTTGATATTATATAGGGTCGTTGTCAAATGTAATATTATTTTTAATAACAAAACCATTTCTCTAGGTTGAATCAGTAAGATTATGTAACTACAAACACGATTTCATTTATTTCAGAATTTTAGAAAGATCTTTCTATAAGACAGCTCTCATAATAGTGGAAGATTATCTTACCACAAAGAATTAACTACAGTATTACACGAAGTGTTATTTGTTTAGTCGGAAGTGTTTTTATATTTCAAACAAAACACATATTTCCATTTAAACTGTTCATCATTGAGTGTATAATCTGGCACCAATATTTCTAGAGTCGACGTGTAGCATATTAAGTCGCCCTGATAGTGGCAGGTCCTTACAGGTTATTTCTCTTATTAGGTCACTGAAGACGGTTGCGAACCTTGGACTATTCCTCCTCTTGTCAACCCACATCATCAAAACTGTCCACCGGAATAGAGAATGGTACGGAGTCATTTGAATGATGTACTAAGGATATATTTTCATATTAGAGCCAAAGAACAACACTATATGGCATACAGATAAACAGACAGACAAGCAGATAAATGGACAAACAGACAAGTAGTCAGATAAATATTTGGTTAAATACGGAAAGAGACAGATAGATAGATAGATTAGTATGTAGATAAATAAACAGATGAAATAGGGTAGTTGGATAAACAGGTTAAATATAGTACAGAATGTCTGCTTAGAGAATAAGAAATTAAGGATTAAAATATCGAAAATTTGTGAAAACGACCTTTAAATGAAAGGATACTGTAATCATTAGAACAGGACCGTGTTTCTTCGTCGTGAAATGAGACGCCACGGGAGAATAGATGATAATAATTGTCCTTGGTTTAATTTGTTCTGTTAACATCGTGCAGCACATACGTTTGCAAGAAAAAATATTTAATCCGTTTTCACATCTCGGAGTCACAATAAGAACAACTCACTTCTTAGAAGATATAACTTTTTCTATGATTATAAATTAAAAGAACAAAATGTCTATTGGAGTTTAAACGTAAAAAACAAAACAACAACGTATAACTGGTATGCTTAACACTGATTTTAAATTAACACTTTACTATTTTCCTTTTTTTTTTTTTCACTTTTGAACCTTTAGATCTATCTTTATATCTTGCACAATGAGTGTTATAATGTGATTTATGAACAATTATGTTTAATGTCAATAATATGGAGGAATATTTTCGGGCCCCACGGTGGCACAGTTGTATGTCTGCAGACTTACAATGCTAGAAACCGAGTTTCGATACCCGTGGTTGGCAGAGCACAGATAGCCCATTGTGTAGCTTTGTGCTTAACTACAAACAATATTTTCGGTTCAGGATCATGACCTCTAAGTAATTTTTTATTAAATTGTTACAGAAAAGTGTATTTTTTACAATTTTATGTTGAATTGAAAAATTGCCCCCAAAATGAACGGAAAAACACTTATTTTGGCCCTCAAGTTATGGATTTGTTCTTGTACCGTTTACTACTGCACATATTGCACAATATTGAATAATTTTATGCGTTTGCATGTTACAACATTGTAAAATAGAATACTGACCAAAACAATGGATGATATTATCCATTTCTTATGTAAAATGCATAAATAACCCAGCAGTAATTAATGAGAATACTTGCAATACTGATTATAATTTCTTTATGTGTATGCGTATAACACAGATGTTTTAAGGACCCCACAACCAACAAAGAAATAGACACCAAAAAAATCTAGTATGCATATATAGTGTAAAAAAGGGGGCTATGAACTTTAAATATTCTTTGTAAAACTTGATTTTTATTCCTCTGTATAACGAGAAAGAAGTTGTAATATCTAATGTGCAATCCGTTTTCTATAGAGAGAATGAACTTAAAATGTCCACTGTACAAAAACTTGTTTTTTGAAGCTCATTACATCTTTATAGACGAATACTTCTACTGTATAATCTTGTTTTTCCGCATCTATATAGATAGAAAGAAGTTGTAATGTCTAATGTGCAATCCGTTTTCTATAGAGAGAATGAACTTAAAATGTCCACTGTACAAAAACTTGTTTGTATTCGTCTATAAAGATGTAATGAGCTTCAAATGTCTACTACATAATCTTGTTTTTTCCTCATCTTTATAAGGAAAATGAACTTGTAATGTCCACTGTACAAATTTCGTTTTTATTCATCTGTAGAGTGAGAATTAACTTGAAATTTCATAGAGAGAAAGAGCTTTAAATGCCCAATGTACAGACATATTTTTTATTAGAGAAAGTGAAGTTGGAATTTCCACTGTACAAAATTGTTTTTTTCCTCGTCTGTATAGGGAAAATGAACAAAGGCTTTTTTCATCAGGCTTAAAAGTAAATCCTCTAAACGCGAAGTTAGATAACAATATGGGCAAGGTTTTGGAAGCACAACAGCGCCACGAGGAGGCGCTGAATTACTATAATCAAGCCATCAAGTAAGGGTTTTAATGTGTTTCCTTATTTTTCTTACGTCATGTTTTTTTTTGTTGTTGTTGTTGTTGTTATTACTATTTTTACAATTTGCTTACTAGTATTTGTATTTGGTTCTAAGCTTTATACAATTGTAGAAATATTCAGCATGATCAATTATATATTATGCATTAGAAACATACGTTTTATCAAGCTATTGTATCTAACCAAATCCTCACTACATAACTCAGTATGAAGATATTAAATAATTAGACGGTTATTTACTAAATTAAAATGTTAGGCCTTGAGAAAAACCACTATGACGTTAAAACATAAATATCAGCCATCGCTTTTTATGTTTCTTTGTTCGATATGTTAAAAGTGACAAAACAGCGGGTTTTTGTCTTATAATTACAAGAATGTTCTTGGAAATTGCTTTACTTATCGACGAGTTTTTGTTGTTGTTTTTTGGATAATATTCCATTTCTTAAATTACAAGAATGTTCTTGGAAATGGCTTTACTTATCGATGAGTTTGTGTTGTTGTTTTTTTGTATAATATTCCATGTCTTATAATTACAAGAATGTTCTTGGAAATGGCTTTACTTATCGATGAGTTTGTGTTGTTTTTTGTTTTGTATAATATTCCCTGTCTTATAATTACAAGAATGTTCTTGGTAATGGCTTTACTTAGCGATGAGTTTGTGTTGTTGTTTTTTTTTGTATAATATTCCATGTCTTATAATTACAAGAATGTTCTTGGAAATGGCTTTACTTATCGATGAGTTTGTGTTGTTTTTTGTTTTGTATAATATTCCCTGTCTTATAATTACAAGAATGTTCTTGGTAATGGCTTTACTTAGCGATGAATTTGTGTTGTTGTTGTTTTTTGGATAATATTCCATTTCTTATAATTACAAAAATGTTCTTGGAAACGGCTTTACTTATCGACGAGTTTTTTGTTGTTGTTGTTTTTTTTTTTTGTATAATATTCCACGTCGATTTGTTTTCATCAGGAGATGAAATGTACTTCTGATTCTTTCCGTAAAAGCTTGGCTTTCCTACTGTATTTATATTTCGCCAAATTAAACAATTTATTATTTTTCGATAATCAACAAATGATTTTGTTACATAGAATGCAGCCCAACGATGTTCGCGGGTTTCTCAACAGCGGGCGAGTTTTAACGTTTCTCCGGAGGTATCAGGAAGCAGAAGATATATATTTAAAGGTAAGAAGTGTCAGAGATTTTCTCTGTTCATTTTATTCATAGAAACTGTGCTGTGGTTTCGAAATAATTAATCTGTTTTTCATTGATTTACTTGAGGAATTATGTGCGCGGAGAAACCATATGAAAATTCCTAACGAAAATAACGATTTTAACATTAGGAATTTTGTTCATGCGATCGTACAACGATACACTTTCTAATCTTGGGTATTAAGAATTACTAAAGTATTACTAAAATTGGGTATTAAGAAAATATAATTTCTTTAAAAACTGTTTCCTTAAAGCGAATAAAAATATAAGAATAAAAAATGGATAATTATTATTGTTATTTCTGAGAATTTTTTTAGTGTTATTACACTCAGTTATGTCGGACCAATCTGTTTATGTGAAAGATTAAACGTATTCCGGGTTATTACTCTCAGTTATATGTCTGACCAATCTGTTTATGTGAAGGATTAAACGTATTCCGTGTTATTACTTTCGGTTATATGTCTGACTAATCTGTTTATGTGAAAGATTAAATATATTCCGTGTTATTACTCTCAGTTATATGCCTGACTAATCTATTTGTGGGAAAGTTAAACATATTCCTTATTATTACTCTCAATTATATGCCTGACTAATCTATTTGTGTGAAAGTTAAACATATTCCTTATTATTGCTCTCAGTTATATTGTAACGGTCTAAAATGATTACGCCTCTACAATCAGAGTTCAAGAACAAAAACACAACTTATTCACGCTAACAACACTTAGAAATAAATTCAACACAGTTAATAAACAAGTGCCTGGCTAGGACTTCACACCAATATTAATAAACAGTTTATCATAAATATTAATAAATCAATAATAATGGAATCAGTAAAAAAAACAGAAAGAAAAAACTAATTAAAAAAATACAATATTCAAACAATATCTTTCAATATCAATAATAATATTGAGTGACAAACAACAGTAACTATCTTCTTCAATAACTATCTCGTGACTCTCTCTTCATGAAGCTTCTGACAGGGTATTCATTCACAAAGTAGGTCACGAGAGTACAACCTCATGTGCTCATAAATTTACATATTCTTCTGCTACATTGATAGTATCTGTATGTCACCCCTAAGGAAGCTGGTATCAGTTTCATCACACATTCATATATGTTTACTCAAAATGTTCGACTTAAAAAAACGGACTTATCAGACACTGGTGAAATATTAAGTAATAAAACCTATGAGTACAGGATTGATATCAGTTAAAAATGTCCCGAGCTCTTCTCACACATTATCAACATACCGTGATGACGCTGTTGAACACGCTATGTACTTTCAGCTGTTGGTACGCTATAGGATTGACATTCAAACCTGTTGCTCTGTTAATGTCACGCAAAACCCATATGGTGGCGGGTGCTGCTGATTGGCAGTCTTCCCTATGCTTGGTAGTTAAAAATTAGAAACGACTATACGTGAACCCTAAGGTCTCTTTTCTGATCGTTTTGACCAGGGGTGTTGGCACCCTCTGGAGGTGCGAAATGAGGGTTCAGGGGGTGGGCGGAAGAGGCCTGTACAAAGTCAGTTTTCCCCCAAATGTTGCCAAGAGGAAATGTCTAATACACAGTGTTTTAGGGGAGGGGTGCGAGGGCTACAAAAGGTTGGGAACCACTGATTTAGACCATCTATGTCATTCAGGTTAAAAAATATAAACTTTTGACAGTTTGTGAAATATTCAAGTACCACTACTTGCACATCTATAGTCGAATTATTTCATAATAAACAATTTAACTATCACTGTCTTATTATCGTCCGATTGTTTAATAATTATCTGTTTATATAATTTAGTATTGTTTACTTAATTACGCATATGTTCCATTGCATGACTTAAAGCTGTAATAAACTCATGCAAACACACATCATACTTTGTATATTATTAACAGTAAATGGTGTAAAAAAGATATCATTTTATTATACACCCAAACAAAGAAAACACTTGACAATGAAAGATACTAAACAAACGGGCGGCTACAACAGTACAGACTACAAACATTACTGTCAAAGAAATGAGCTGACGAAGAAATAACCTATTATTTTATTTTCATTTGAACCAATAAGGCCTAAAATTAGCTAATAATCTTCCTTCCATTTGATTCAGTAAGGCCTAGAAATAAGCTATTACTTTTACTCTCGTTTATAATAATAAGACCTAGAAACAAACTATGACTCTTCCTTCCATTTGATTCAATAAGACCTAGAAATAAACTATTACTCTTCGTTTTATTTGATTCAATTAGGCCTAGAAACAAACTATTACTCTTCGGTTTATTTGATTCAATTAGGCCTAGAAACAAACTATTACTCTTCGTTTTATTTTATTCAGTTAGGCCTAGAAACAAACTATTACTCTTCTTTCCATTTTATTTGATAAGGCCTAAAACTATTACTTTCCTTCTATTTGATTCAATAACGTCTAGAAATAAAATATTACTCTTCCTTAATGATTCCATTAAAATTTATATACACCAAGCTTTCCTTACACAAACAATGATTTTTTTGTGTTAAAGAATTATTTGGCAAAATCCATTTACCAGAGAAACGATAACTAAGTATTATATATATAATCCTTATTATACACATATAACTCTTTATTCAATGAGTATTCTTAATTATGCACGATTTTTTAAGACGTGGTAATATTTATACAAATGGTACTCTATGATAAACAGGATTTTGTTATGAGAAACGGCAATATATTAACAAATAATACTGTATACTGAGCAGTCTTTTCTTAAGATAGACGATAATATTTCTTTAGAAATATTGTACGTCTTAATCAACGGCTCCCTAGTTTTAAAGAAATGTTTTTTTCTAGAGAGTTTATAATTCTGCATTACATAGGTAACTATAAAGAGAAAGACTATTCACTATTACACCGTACAGTGTGAAAGTTTACCTAAATTACCTAAATTGTGAGTGAAAGTTCAGTAGCTGTTTACTGATTGTTTAATCCAGGCTTCATTTGAAAGATAAGAAACGTATCCTTCACCTGCAGTATAGTCTCGTTTTTGGTTTTACCAATTTTTTATTTAAACACTAGGGGCTGGGTCCACATCACACTCACCTAGTACATTCGAACAAAGCTTGAACTGTTCTTAAACCTAGGATTATAATGTTCTTTTAAACGATCTCCCGGTCTTCTAACAATCGAGCCGACGAAAGCGCCCATACACGTTTGGTAACAGAATGCATAAATAACCCGTGACTGTTGATAAAACTTGATACAATCTTTAAACATGGAAAAATTATAAATTCTCAGTAAAGATCTGGACACATATTGAAGTGAACTTCTGGATATACTTTGTTGATTATGGTGTTTAGTTTCCTCTACAAGATTCGTGAGTGTGAACCTTCGTTCCATACAGAGAGCGTACCTGACGTTATAGTTCACTGGTATGGATAGATGTAGTTGTTGAACAGTTTTATTGAACGAATAAACTTGTTCGGTTTAAGTTTTAAACCAGATTTTATTCTGAGTAACTCTCTCTTTAAGATTTTATTTGAAATGAAATGGAACATGACTGTTAAAGTGGGTGTATGTTCCGGTGTAGGTTGGTTTCTGATAACAACCGACACCAAAACATTCTTGTTTGTTGAAAACATGTGTGTCAAGAAAAGATAGAGCAGAGCGCTGTTGGCGTTCACACGTGGACTGAATGTTAACATGTTGTGTCATGAGAATAACTGGCTGAGAGGTTGTCCTACTGAGTCCAAACCGCATATTAGCAATTGCAGTGTTGATAACATATATGTAAAATTCAAAAATGAAAATCAATCAGTGAAGTTTGTAAAATATTCGAATTTCAAGCATGGCTCACACTCACGAACCCTGAAGAGGAAACTAAACACCATAGTCAACAGAGTATATCCACAAGTTCACCTTCAATATGTGTGTTCAGACCTATATTGAGAATTCAAATTTTTTTTCAAGTTTAAAGATCATATCCAGTTTTCTCAACAATCACGCGCTATTTATGAATTCTGCTGTCCAACTTTCTAGAGTGCTTACGTCAGCTCGCCTGTTAAAAGATTAGGGGATCGTTTAAAGTAACATTCTGTTAAAGAACATATAATGAAAGAATAAACTGACAAAATGAACTTGAGAAACAAATTATTCATATCTTACAAAATTTACCTAAAGTTAGAAACAAATGTGATTATGTTTAATCGAAACTTGTGTGTTTGGTCCAACCTCTCATCTTCATCTCAACGAATCATCGGCCAGTTTCACCGACTTCAGTGTCGCAAGGCATTCTCAACTACATCATCTCCACAGGTATCATCTCCGTACTACTACTCTTCTCATCTTCTCTTCTCTAGCGTGGAATGTTTGCACATAATTCGCCGCTTTTCCGGACAGTCTGAGACATCAAGTCGCGTGAACATTATTTAATCTTCATCAAATTACCAGTTTCAAGAACGCCAATACATTTATTGTTAAAGTCCCTACCGATTGGCCACGAAGTGCAGTGAAGAGAAGCAGAAGTTTCTGGCCGTCCATGGTTATCTTTTAGACCCTTTTGGTACCTGAAAGATACATAACCAAAATATCCACCACGGATCGGATAGGTTTAAGGACAGTTCAAGCTTTGTTCGAATGTACTAGGTGAGTGTGATGTGGACCCAGCCCCTCAGTGTTTTTAAAATAATCGGTAAAGCTGAAAACGAGACTATACTGCAGGTGAAAGATACGTTTCTTATCCTTTAAATGAAGCCTGGATTAAACAATCAGTAAACAGCTTCTGAACTTTTACTCGAAATTTAGGTAATTGGACTACTTAATAATAAGGAGAAACTGCTACTTACTAATAAGGCTGTTTCAAAAAAAATGACTACTTACTAATAAGGCTGTTTCAAAAAAAATGACTACTTACTAATAAGGCTGTTTCAAAAAAAAATGACTACTTACTAATAAATTTGGATCAGAAGAAACGGGTTCTAACTAATAAAGCTATTTACAGGAGATACGACTACTTATTGATAATGTTGTTTACAGGAGATACGACTACTTATTAATAAAGTTGTTTTGAAGAGATACGACTACTTATTAATAAAGTTGTTTTGAAGAGAAACGGCTATTAACTATATAATAAAGTTGTTCTCAAGAGAAATGCTACTTACTAATAAGGTTGTTTTGAACAGATACGACTCCTTACTAATAAAGTTGTTTTGAAAAGATTCGACTCCTTACTAATAAAGTTGTTCTCAAGAGAAATGCTACTTACTAATAAAGTTGTTTTGAAAAGATTCGACTCCTTACTAATAAAGTTGTTCTCAAGAGAAATGCTACTTACTAATAAGGTTGTTTTGAAAAGATACGACTCCTTACTAATAAGGTTGTTTCGAAGAGAAACGGCTACTACCTATATAATAAAGTTGTTCTCAAGAGAAATGCTACTTACTAATAAGGTTGTTTTCAAAAGATACGACTCCTTACTAGTAAGGTTGTTTTGAAGAGAAACAGCTATAAACTATATAATAAAGTTGTTCTAAATAAAAAACTACTTACTAATAAGGTTGTTTCAAAGACAAACGGCTACTAACTACATAATAAGATGTTCCCAAATAGAATCAGTTACGTATTGATAAGACAGTTCCCGAAACAGCTGTTCGATGATAAAGTTTTTCTTAATACAAATCGTTCTTTCTGAAATAATTTATATTTTGTATCTCCAATATATTGCTTAAAAGTATTTTGACAAAATGTGTATGTTCCTCACAGTAAGCATTCTTTTTATTACTTTAAATAAATCTTTATAGTAGATTTATACTGTAAGTTACTGTTTAGTTGATGTAAGCGTTCATCAACTGTTTAGTTTATGTAAACGTTTATCAAACAGTAAACTCGATTACCTTCGAATTCGCTTTAGGGTTAAAATTTTCTTGTTAGTCGCTCGCTAGATAAAATTAATAGTCTTCAAATTCTATCTTAACATGCTAATTACTACCAACTGCGATGCAGATCAGGATTGGAGGGTTTTGTTTATCTAACAGCAAAATATTATTTGTTTCTAAATTGAAAATTATAACCAATCCAAAGTACAAATTCGGGCAGAATCTGTGGACGAGTCAATATGTATGTTGTTTATTGCCAGACAACTTGTCTTTCCTCCTCAGCCAGTGATGTAACAATGACGAGTCTGAGCCTAAAAGGCCCGGCATGGCCAGGTGGTTAAGGAGCTCGACTCGCAAACTGAGGATCGTGGGTTCGAATCTCTGTCCCACCAAACATGTTCGCCCTTTCAACCGTGGGGGCATTATAATGTGACGGTCAATCCCACTATTTGTTGGTAAAAGAGTAGCCCAAGAGTCGGCAGTGGGTGGTGATGACTAGCTGCCTTCCCTCTAGTCTTACACTGCTAAATTAGGGACGGCTAGCGCAGATAGCCCTCGTGTAGCTTTGCGTGAAATTCATAACAAACAAACAAACAAACTTTCCTCCTCTTGCAATAAGTAATGAAACAAAACAAAAACCTGAATTAAAAGGTTTAAAATCCTAGCTGTCTATTATCCATCTCATCTTAAGATGATATGTCTGTTAATTGGTTAGTTAATGATTTTCAAAGTTCTGTCGTAGATTATTTTAGGGTGTGCGGTTATAGTCCAAACAAACTCAAAATTAACGTTTTCTCGACTGATTTGCTCTTTATAATAATATCTTGTGTATTTCGATGCATCAGTAAATTTTTAAAGTGGTAAAAATTGTTTCAACTTATTTAAATATTTATTTATTCTCTAAGAACCTAGAATTTCATATTAACTTAGCAAAACGGAAAACATAAATACTGCTTTAAGCTCGAAAAAAGGCGCATTTGAACATAGTTATTTTCACTGAAAGAAGTTCCTGGCGTATTGATATTCATCCAAATACATTTTCTTGAATTCAGCAGATTTAGTGATACTGAATATTGCACCTTCTAGTCACGTTATTGAAGTTGAAGAAAACGTCCTATTCTTCATCAACTTTAAATCTTTGTCCCAGTGTTAAGAAAACAATAAACATTTTCGTTTTTTTCCCCCCCAGTTACAAAATCTTATTATCGCCACTGAAATATCTTTCACACTTAAATAACCACATGATGGCAAATCTGCCTTTTAATGACTGACTTGGCCATCTATTGCGATTTTCCAGTCTAGATATTTTCCCCAAGATTATGTTTGTTCAATGAAAGGAAATTGTAGTTATTTTGCCACAGGATTCACTTGGTATTCACAGATGGAACTGTTCGAATTGATTTTTCTTTTCCTGCGGTCTTTGCAACATCCGGAGCATGGATAAAGAATCGATTGTGCCTTGGGAAAAAAATCATATTTAGAACCCAAATTCCTATCCTTTCGTCAAGCCTTTAGCTCCTTTTTTTGCTATTATTTGAAACTAATCATGGTGTTTAATAATTTCAGGTAATCACATCTTTTAAAAATTGTCATAATTTTTGTTTTCAGGATGTGCGACTGTGCTGTTGTGTTTAATGTAATCTTTTCTTTTTAAGATTAAAAACAAAACGGTTTGTATTTTCTCTGATTCGTCTTAGGCTAAAGCTATGTTACCTCAGGCTGAAAATCCTGCCGAAACGGAAACCCACGTGACTCCCAGTCACCTGCAGGTGTTTTTAGGCCTCGCTTCTTTGTTATCGAGGAATACCAGTCGCTTGGAAGAAGCTGACGCCGTTAAGTGTTGTTCCATTAACATATTCTTTATTATTTTCAAACAAAAGTGTGAATGTCCCTCAGCGTTTTTATATTGTTATATACCTAATGCTTAATGTGTAAATGTTAACTTTTGTTCCTTTAGCATGTTTTATATCTCTATGTAATTAAAGTGTGAATGTTAAGGACTGTTCACTTAGCGTATGAATATTACGTACTGTTTCTTTATGTTGTTATATAACTAAAGTATGAATATTTTCTCTTTAGCGTAATTTCTTTGTTATAGAAAGTATGTGTAAATGGAAAGTAGTTTTAACATTATATTCTTTATTCGGTCCCTTAGAGTTTTTGCGACGGGACCAAATAAAAGACGTTGTGCTAAAAAAATACAATAAGCCTAATACTTATGACCAGCATTTATTATCATCACGCTTCCAACCAGGCGTTCACACCATTAACAATCGTAAATGTGAAGTATTGTTCCTTCAGCGTGTTATATATTGTTGTTTAAATAAGTGAGGATGTTTTGTTCTCTTAGCGTCTTTTGTATTATTGTTTAGATAAAGTGTTTTATTCCCTTAGCGTATTTGATATTGTTATATAGCTAAAAAGTCCATATTAAGTATTGTAACTTAGCGAACGTTCTAATTCGTTAAATATGAAAAAAATGTCTTATATTCTTATTCTACTTATGATAACGGTAGAAATCGCTTCTAGATGTTTTACAAATATGTTAGAGAAACAAAGAAATTCTGTAATAGTCGAGCCCGATGTTAATATTATCTCACTTTTATCTAAGTTATCTTATCGGGAAACCAAAGGGATTTTTTTCTCGTACAATTGATGAAAAAATAATCAGATATTACAAACTATTCGATAACGTTCATCACGTACGTGTACGTGCGTCGAACCACAGCACCAAGCGTGGTTCGTGTATCGTTGGATGATCTGAAGCCTGCACATTTTAGTGTACGTTAAGCACATTAAAAGCTAAAAGCAATGGAACATAAAAAATTGTTAGGGAGAGTGTAGAAGTTCAAATAGGGGAAAATATAATATATATATATGACATCAGGCTTCTCCTGGTTACATCTACTAACCAAGTAGTCGTTTTAATCCCAGAAAATTTTCAGTTTCACTCTAAATTACTTCATAACTCGCTGCCTGTGACGTTAATATTGATACATATCCTACAATAAGACACCAAAGTAATACTAATAGAGTTTTACTGTTAGAGTTTTACTGCTTCCTTAATTCTCTACCCCTGTGATCAACCCGTTAATACGTTTAACAGCTTCGGTAAGTAAGCAGAGTTTATGGTTATTATAACTTGAATAAAACGGATGTATGTCTAACAAAACTGTCGCTGAACATCGCGCATCGAAGCATTCCCATTCCATAACAAGCATTCCACACACACACACTTTCTCTCTGATCGCTTTTTTTTTTTCTTCAATACTTCAGTGTCGACAGAAGACACTGAATTTATTTCCCCAAATTCTCCTCGTCAAATCTAGAAACTGAACGAACTTGGAGCAGATGAAAACCGTGGCAAAAACGCCAGACAGCAAGTGCGAGCGCAAAGTAGACTTAATTCGCATTTACCGTTGCCGATAGATAGCCATCAGTGACTAATCTCTCTGAAAGAGTTTTAGCAAGATTGTCATCGATGGAACAAACTGAAAATGAATATTCTCATGACTAGATTTGATTTTTGTCAGCTTCGAATCGTGTTTTTGTTTTCAACTTCGTTTTTGTATGTGTTACTCTTTCATAGTTACACTCACATATTACATAACTGTGTGAAAATATAAAAAAATATGCACACACTGTGTGAAAATATAAACAAATATGCACATACTGTGTGAAAATATAAAAAAAATATGCACATACGAAAGTCGTAATCCGAAATAAGACGAATTCTACAATGTTGGCAAATGAACATTTTTTATAAGAGTTCTAATGTACGTTTTTGAGGCTCATAATTTGATTTTAAATAGAAAAGTATCGGTTCTGTTGATATTTTATGATACTTCTCATTAAGACAGTTTTATTTTTAAAAGTGAACTAAAATTAACACATAAGTAAGAGTATGTATCATATACAAATATTTTAATCTTAATTAATAAAGCGCCAATCGTAATGCTCAAAGTGGATTTGCTGTGAGAAAACATGCATAATGTTCAAATAGTTCTCTAGTGGGTCAGCAGTAAATTTCAGACTTACAACGATAAAATCTGGGATTCGATTCCCTGCGATGGACAGATCGCAAATTTCCCGTTTTGTGACGGAGCTTTGCGCTAAAAACAAAATAAACAAATGCTCAAAAAAATAAACGAATCTAAAAGTAAATTATGTATATCCGCTTCTGCTTGAGTGCAGAGGGTGGGAAGGAAAACTACGTTGTAATGCAGATCTACTTTTGACTTAGAACAGCAGATATGAAGGAAAACTGGTTATATACGTCCACTTTTGCTTTAGTAGAGATGATGTGAGGGAAAACTGCATTATTATGCAGATCCACTTCTGCTTTAATTTAGATTAGGATCTGAAGGAAAGCTAGTTATATACATCCACTTCTGCTTTAGTATGAATTAGGATGTGCGTAAAAGCTGGTTACGCTCGTCTACTGTGACTTGGTACAGACAAAGAAAGAAATAACTGGAATTTTACACATTTGTTTTTATAATAACATAAATGAAAATCCAGTTGTCTGAATGTATTTTTATTGATGCGCAGGTAAGGATATGAAGAAATCGTATTTTGTAATTCCGCTGTTGTATGAACTGAAACGTGAAGAACAAGTAAATCTAATGACGTATCGCTCTTCAGACACGTTTTGTTCAGTCCACAACATAATGACTTGTATCGATTGACCGCTTGAATAACTAATTAAACAATGTGAATCATAACTCATGTATGACGTATCTTTTAAATCATATACAAAACGGTTCTTAAATAACAAAACCATATGTTTCATAAGCCATAAGCATTGTATTGTTTAAGTTATCATCAATGATTTTCATATCTCATGAACAATGTATTGTTTAAGTTATCACCAATGATTTCCATATCTCATAAACAATGTATTGTTTAAATTATCATCAATGATTTTCGTATCCCATGAACAATGTATTGTTTAAGTTATCACCAATGATTTTCGTATCCCATGAACAATGTATTGTTTAAGTTATCACCAATGATTTTTATATCTCATGAACAATTTATTGTTTAAGTTATCATCAATGATTTTCGTATCTCATGAACAATTTATTGTTTAAGTTATCATCAATGATATTCGTATCTCATGAACAATGTATTGTTTAAGTTATCACCAATGATTTTCGTATCTCATAAACAATGTATTGTTTAAGTTATCGTCAATGATTTTTAATATCTCATAAACAATGTATTGATTAAATTATCATCAATGATTTTCATATCCCTTCAATAATGCATTGTTTAAATCATAAATAATGTTTTCTCAAATTATATGAAATGTGTCGCTTAAATCACAAAACATTTTATTCATTACAGCATAAATAACGTGTTTCTTAAAACATTACGCCAAAGAGTTAATGGTTTTGAAATTGTGCAGTTTAGTCAAATATGTATAATAAATAAATTAAACAAAGGAGAGGGGATTTCTTGATTTCTAAAACATTGCTTTCTTTTGCAGCTTTATCGAGAAGCTATACGACTACGTTCTGATTACACAGCTGCTTACCTGAATCGCGGTGACGTGCTTTTAAAACTGAACAGGTGATCATAATAATTATAGTTTCTAGTAGCACTAGGAGCTGGAGTTTCTCTAACAGGGTTGTAGTATCCAGTAGCACTAGGAGCCGGAGTTTCTCTAACAGGGTTGTAGTCTCCAGTAACATTAGGAGGTGGAGTTTCTCTAACAGGGTTGTAGTCTCCAGTAGCACTAGGAAGTGGAGTTTCTCTAGCAGGGTTGTAGTCTCCAGTAACATTAGGAGGTGGAGTTTCTCTAACGGAGTTGTAGTCTCCAGTAGCACTAGGAAGTGGAGTTTCTCTAGCAGGGTTGTAGTCTCCAGTAACATTAGGAGGTGGAGTTTCTCTAACGGAGTTGTAGTCTCCAGTAACATTAGGAGGTGGAGTTTCTCTAGCAGGGTTGTAGTCTCCAGTAACATTAGGAGGTGGAGTTTCTCTAGCAGGGTTGTAGTCTTCAGTAGCACTAGGAGCCGGAGTTTCTCTAACAGGGTTGTAGTATCCAGTAGCATTAGGAGGTAGAGTTACTCTAACAGGGTTGTAGTCTCCAGTAGCACTAGGAAGTGGAGTTTCTCTAGCAGGGTTGTAGTCTCCAGTAACATTAGGAGCTGGAGTTTCTCTAACAGGGTTGTAGTCTCCAGTAGCATTAGGAGGTAGAGTTTCTCTACCAGGGTTGTAGTCTCCAGTAGCACTAGGAAGTGGAGTTTCTCTAGCAGGGTTGTAGTCTCCAGTAACATTAGGAGCTGGAGTTTCTCTAACAGGGTTGTAGTCTCCAGTAGCATTAGGAGCTGGAGTTTCTCTAACAGGGTTGTAGTCTCCAATAGCATTAGGAGGTAGAGTTTCTCTAACAGGAACATGTCTCATTAAAAAAAATTGTTTCGTAATAACTCTGTTAAAACAATATAAGACAGATTGATGGATAGGTAGATAGACAGAATTTTATATGGATGGATAGAATGACGGATGAGTAGTTGGAAAGGAGAATGGGTAGATGAGAGGATGATTACTGTTAGTTCATTGAGACCGTGGGCAGTTTGTTACCATGTGCATTATTCTGCCAAAAGTATACGGACAGCCTTTGAATATTCAAAACATCATAAATTACGTCAGTATGAGAGAGAAGAGGTTATAGGCTGATTAAATTCTAGAAAATTCAATACGTGAAATAGTCATAATATTTGTTCATGCGTGATATTCTGTTCATAAAACCATTTAACAGTGGTACGAACGTGCTAGGACAACGTCCGAAAACATTTTTGTTTCAATACAACTGCCAGAGTGCGACAAGTGTGTACTTGGTAGGATTAGTTGAAGAGACTTCAGAAATTACCTTTGGAACACGACTACGTTGATTTTATTGCATTTAATGTGATCATATATATAAAAGACATCACCGGTGAGATCTGTGCAGCGTGCTCTCCACGTAGGTGAGTACTGTAAAACAGTTTTGATACATAAACCATACATTATCCTCTAGAACGTTAAGTATTGTTTTTGTATTCTGTAACTTGTACATATTGGAGTATTGACGATTGTTTACGAATCACATTAAATCCTGGGAGCTGCGACATATAGTTTTGAAGGAATGTTTGAATATATGAAGGTGAATTATCCGATGGTTGCAATGTGGGCTGAATTCTGCACATTGGGCGAGAACTCTACTTGTGAAGTATTCGCACGTCCATATTCTCATAGATGTCCATAAATATTAAATGAACACGTACCTGGAGCCGTGGTTTCGAAGTAACAATATACGTTTAACAATTATCCATATCTTAACTCCATAAACTATCGCTAGTGTCATTTGAAAGTGTAAATCGCAGCCTTTAGGTTGTAATTAACTAGATGAGTATTTGGAAAAGTAATACATACAGAATGCATCAAACACATGAAAAACTCTAGTTTTGAGCATGCCTCGTAACAGTAGACAAATTCAGGCTAAGGTCGACTAAGGTCATACTATATCGGTTAAGACAGTGGTCACTGTAATCTACTTTAAGTATATATGTCCTGATATACTGTTGGCAGGACAGTGTGTCCATACTCATATATCAATTTTATATAAATGTAAATTATATTAAAACCTGTAACCATTCTCTCTCTTCTCAAATGTTCTATAGAAGTAAAGAGGCTGAAGATATGTACATCCGGGCTCTGCAGTTTGACGCTGACAACCCCAATTTATACTACAATGTAAGTCAATATCAGGTTTATCTTATGCAATATAACTTACATTACAGGATAGACTTTCAATGACAATGTGAACCTAACGTATAAAACTGTGTAAGTTTCATGTACAAATGCTAAAACACAACTTATAGTGTAATGTAAACTTCATTTTAATGTTGCACAACAATAAAGAGGATTAACTACGTTACATTAAAACGATTTTGAATGTGCAAATCAGCAACTCACTGGACGACCACAGCCGATATGTAACCGCGTGGAAAGACATGTATCGGAACTACATTTTTACATTGTTTGACGATCGTAGGTAGTGTGATTCCACCGAATACTTATCGCTTTTGGGAATAGTAAATAACAGCCCTCTACGACGCAAAATATTCATACAGTCAATTCAAAAAATATGTTCGGGTCTGTAATTTAGAATTTCCTTGATAGTGTATTCTTTGTAGTTAGTCCCCCAATGAAACAACGGTAAGCCTACGGACTTACAACCCTAATATCCGAAGCTCGATTCCCCGCAGTGGACACAGCAGATAGCCCAATGTGGCTTTGCTCTAAAACAAATAAAATTTTGTAGTTAATTGAAAAAAAGACTATGGATCAACTCGAGGCTCCACGACCATATAGAAAGAGACCTGCAACAAGTCACACCCCAGCCATAGTAAACAAAGTGCAGCGTCTTCTAACAGGTGAATATCCACGATCACAAAGATCAATGCAAAAGTCGTCCATGACCCAGAGAACAGTCCCAAAACAGTAATCCAAGTCATGTATACACAAGTTTTTTCCACGACATATCTTCCCAACTGTGAATGAAATTGGTATTCATGTTATTATTCCCTACAAAAACATACCAGTCAAGTCGCCTATAAATTTCCGTGCAATCGGATTGTTGAAACGTACACTGGAAAACCCTCGTCATCGTATATTATATGGCTTATAGAAAGCACGCAGGGAGGAGTGGCATGTTTTGGACGTGGCAGTCTTATGACAGAACATTTAACAATTGAAACTACGATCCAGAGCTCTTAAAAAAGATGCACGGTCGTTAATAAAGCATGATCGGACGTAGCTGCATGCGCTATAACGACTTGGTGAGGCTCTAAAATCATTTTCATGTAATGTACTACACATTTGCACATGATTGTTGTACTATACAAATATACCAACCTTTTTGTTCACATGAATTATGTTAATGAAAATTATATCAATATGTTGCACAGTTGTACAAGTGTTTACATACCATGCCACAACAAAGCTTTCTTTGCATTGTAGCCAACAGACAGTATACAACTACTTCACTGTAACAGTAGTCTGCTACGAACGTCACCTTTCAAATTAAGTCTCATTAATCTGTAAATGGCTGTTAGCCACTGAGACAGATTTCCACATATTCAGATTTTTGTATATTTTTCTAGGTTCTATTCTAAGGTAGACACCTATTTACCCTTCTTGTTAAAATAAATGTTTCCAGGTGATTCTTTATAATGTAGTGGTGTTTTGATATATTTCTTTACAGTGTACAAATGCTTTCTAATATTTCTTTATAACATACAGATTTTTCTATTTAATGTTAATTCTATTTTCGGATCATTTTCTTTACAGGTTGGAATTTGAAATTTAAAGTATTAGTGATTAGACCATTTTGTTTTGTTAACTGTTGCTATTATGTACCTTTTTTCGATTATAGAATATTTTTAATAATTTTGCATTGTTTTCTCTACAGCTTGGTGTTGTACTAATGGACCAGGGGAGGAGTGAAGAAGCCTTGACTTTCTTTAGCAGAGCCTTAGAACTAGAACCACAACATAAGGTAGGAAACTTCTTTAGCAAAGCCTTAGAACTAGAACCACAACATAAGATAGGAAACTTATTTAGCAGAGTCTTAGAACAAGAACCACAACATAAGGTAGGAAACTTCTTTAGCAGAGTCTCAGAACAAGAACCACAACATAAGGTAGGAAACTTCTTTAGCAGAGTCTTAGAACAAGAACCACAACATAAGGTAAGAAACTTCTTTAGCAGAGCCTTAGAACTAGAACCACAACATAAGGTAAGAACAACTTCTTCAGAAGAGCCTTAGAGCTAGAACCACAAGATAAGGTAGGAAACTTCTTTAACAGAGTTTTAGAACTAGAACCACAACATATGATAGGAAACTTCTTTAGCAGAGTCTTAGAACTAGAACCACAACATAAAGTAGGAAACTTCTTTAGCAGAGTCTTAGAACTAGAACCACAACATAAAGTAGGAAACTTCTTTAGCAGAGCCTTAGAACTAGAACCACAACATAAGGTAGGAAACTTCTTTAGCAGAGTCTTAGAACAAGAACCACAACATAAGGTAGGAAACTTCTTTAGCAGAGGCTTAGAACTAGAACCACAACATAGGTTAGGAACAACTTGTTTAGAAAAACCTTAGAAATATAGAACTGCAATATAAGGTAGGAACAACCTATTTAGCCTAACTATAGAACACATCATAAGGTAAGAACAACTTTTTTAACGGAGCCTTAGAACTTTAGAACCACAACATAAGATAGGAACAACTTGTTTAGCGGATTCTTAGAAATATAGAACAACAGCATAAGGTAGGAACAATTTGTTTAGCAGAGCCTTAGAACTAGAACCACGACATAGGGTAAGAACAACTTCTTTAGCAAACCCTTAGAACTAGAACCACAACATTAGGTAGGATCAACATCTTTTAAGAACCTTAGAACTAGAACCACAGCATAGGGTAGGAACATCTTCTCTAGCGGAATTTTAGCGCTAGAACCACAATATAGGGTAGAAACAACTTCTTTAGCAAAACCTTAGAACTATAGAACCGCAACATAACGTAGGAAGAATATATTTTGTATTACCTTAGAACTATAACCACATCATAGGGTAGGATCAACTTCTTTGGTATGGCAGAACACATCTGCTCAATAACGTTTTCTAATTGAATTTATTCCATAAAAAGGAACAAACAAATTCGCTCAACAAAGTTTAGGAATGTTATGAGATTGCGGTGTGTTTTACAATCGTTATTTCTTTAACGAGAAACCGTACTTATATTTGTTTGCTCTGCAGGATTTGATATAACATTCGAACTGACGATGTTTCGTCGTTCTGATAAGAAAAGTAAGATTTTCTTTCTGAATATAATGTGTTATTTTTCGCTCAGATAATTGTTGTTTTTGATAAAGCTAATAGACTGTTTGATCAGAATGATGTTCATGTACTGAGGAAATTACGTTTGTTAATTTTTACGCTATGGTCGTTTGAATTTAATTAATTTAGATCTCCGTTTATGAATTTCAGCAAGCCCTTCTCAACTCAGCAATGTTACTCCAAGACAGAAACATGCAGAAAACGAAAGAAGAGGCGAGCAAGAGGTAATTATAACAGAGTCAGTGAACTTAAATAAAACCCGTTAATGTTCTGACAAACATTTGTTAATTAACTGTAGATATTATCATTCAGTATTTAGGGATTATCGCGTTGAGAAAGAATTGTGTTTCGTGCTTTTATTTTTGTATTTTGTATCTAATTAAACTTATTGAGAGCTTATCTCCTTTTTTATGTTGTGGTAAATTGTGATATTCTTCTCGTTAAATGTTTATTGTAATCATTCAGATCTTTAGTTGTTGTGCAATCACGTTTTGCGGCGCAACCCTGTGCACTGCTGAATTTATCTAGTTATAATCACGTCTTGTGACGCAACCCTGTGCATTGCTGTATTAATTCAGGCCATAGAAATTGAATATCAACGTGGTTAACATGAACACCCTAGCAAATCACAGTGCTGTGTGAAGCCTGAAATTGGTAAAACGAATTGGTTTACAATGTCACTTCAATGACGTGTTCTAACATTTTATACATTGAAGCAAGAGAATTATTTATATTGTTACAATCTTTTATGAATAGTGTTGCCACGTAGCTTGATAATTATTCATATTGTGACAATATTTATAAAAAAAACTTACCATGTAGCTAGGTTGTTATTTATATTGTTACGATTAATATAAAGAAAGTTGCCATGTATCTTTGTGTGTATCTGGAGGATTATTCATACTATTTCAATAATTATAAACCTAGTTACCATGTATGTTTGTGATTATTTGTATTGTTAGAGTCTTCATAAACAAAATTTCCACGGAACTTGGTGATTATTTATGCTGTTGTAATTTTGTTTATGAAGAAACAAATTTTGTTTACAAGTAAACGGTTACCACGTGGCTAGATATGTCATTTATATTTATTGTTACCTCTTTATAACCAAAGTTATTACCGTATAGCTTGGTGATTATTTGTATTGTTAGAGTCTTCATAAACAAAATTTCCACGGAACTTGGTGATTATTTATGCTGTTGTAATTTTGTTTACAAGTAAACGGTTACCACGTAGCTAGATATGTCATTTATATTTATTGTTACCTCTTTATAACCAAAGTTATTACCGTATAGCTTGGTGATTATTTGTATTGTTACAATCTTTCTAAACAAAATTACCGTGTAGTTGGTGGCAGGCCCGCCTTGACAGGACGGTGGGGGCAACAGCACAGGGGCCCGGGCGAATGAAACCTGGTTATGCCGTAAATCAACAAAGCATCTTTAGGTTATATCTTCATTTAATGATAAAAACCATAGTTTTTGGCTTTTCTTTGCATATAGACGCTTGATATA